CCCTGAAGACCCCGCAGGATCCCCGAAGGATTCCTGAGGATTTCCGAAGGGATTCTTTGGGAGCGCCGAAAGATTCCTCAGGATCCCCGAGGGACTACTCTTGAAGATTCCGCTTTGAATCCCAAGGATTCCGCAAGGATTTTTTCTTGGATTTCCGAGGGAGCCATAAGGATTCCCGAGGGTTTCTGGAGTCCGCGGGAATTCTTAACGACACGTTCGGGATTCCAAAGGATTCCTTAGGGACTCCTGATGATTCCCAAGGGATCCCCCAGGATTCCCTTAGTATTCTTGAAGAGCCCTTAAGGATTCCTAAGGATTCCCTAGGGATTCCTAGGGATGCCCTCGGGATTCCTTAGGATTCCCTTGGGATGCTTGTGGATGCCTTAGGGATTCCTCTGGATTCCTTAGAAATTCCTTAGGGATTCCCAAGGGATCCCCAAGGATTCCCAGAGTCTGCCCCTCGCAGGCCGCCCTTCACAGGCTTCCATAGGCTTCCCCCGATAGGCTGTCCCCCACCGGCAAATTCAGGAAAACCCTCCTTGCCACCCGCCCAGCCAAGAATAATTTACGCTGCGCGCCTCAAATTCACCCTCCATGCTAAAGCAGCAGGACCGCGCACGCCAAGAATAATAATTTGAAGATTTTATTCTTCTTCGGAAATTTCAGGGTTACCTTGTAATTTCAAGCCCCAGGCCAGCCCCCCCAGAAGAATAATATTGCATGCAATTTCGTTTCAGAACGCATTGAGATTCTTCGGAAATTCGACGGTAACCCTCGAATTTCCCCCAAAACCCAAGAAGAAGTAGCTAATCGATAGGATTAAACGATAATCAGCGCCCCGTCATGGGTCATAATGGCAGGGTCCAGAGGAGGATGGAGGAGGAGGAGGAGGGAGGAGGAGAAAGAGGAGGGGAAGGAAGAGGAGGAGGGGGCGTGACGGGGGTAGGCCTCGTCGTCTTTGTTGTTCGGCCTTGTTGGGCATTATTTGGGGGGGGCCCTCGTCAACGCGAAAGCGAAACCTCATACTAAAGCACCCCGGGGCCGATTTTGAAGGGGCCGGTCCGGGCGCCGATTTTGAAAGGGGCCGATTTTGAAGGGGGCTGATCCCCCTTCAAAATCGGCCCCCTTCAAAATCGATAACGGACAACAGCGACGACGACGACGTCGTCCAGGCGCGCCCAGGCGAGGCTCTGACGGGTCGTCCACAGGCCGACGGTCCTCCTGCAGCGAGCGCCTCCTCCAGGCAGGCCCTGCAGCCGCGCCCCGCGCGGCCGGCGCGTGCATCGTATTATTATCATTCGTTCTCACCTGCTGATGTCCCATCGTGGTATCCAACCTCGTTCCGCCTTTCCCTGCCCCGTATTATCCTGGCCCACTCCGGCCCACCCCCATCGTAGTATCTTATCCGCAACGCCCATTCTATCCGATCCCATCTTCTTGGCGCCGATGGCGACATTGTTGTCTAGGCGCCCTCCTCCTCATCATCATTATCCTCCTCCTCCTCCTCCGCTTCTTCTTTCAGCTTAGACGCACGGAAGGCAGCGTGATGAGCAACGGCGGCGGCCATCGAGCCCCCCCCCCCTTCCCTGTCTCGACCCCGTCAGCGGTTGTTTGCCCGCGGACCTGCTGGAGGCAGGGCTCGGCCCATCATCAGGGTGGCCTCCAAGACGGCTTAGATGGCCCAAGATGATTTCCATGATGGTCCCGAGACGCATCCAAGACGTCCAAGATGCCCCCAAGAAGAGAGCCCAAATGACCCCAAGATGCCTCCGACGCGGCCCAAGATGAACCCAAGACGACCCAAGATGGCCTCAAGACGGTCTAGGACGCCCAGTCTGGTGACGCCGCTGGCGCCGCGCTTCTTCTTCTTCTGGGTCAAGACACCGAGGGGGGGGGGGGCATCACCTCCCCCCCTCGCCCACCACAGGAGCTCAAGACCCCAGATCCCGAAAGATCCCGAGACGGGAAGGACGAGGCAGGGGCCTCATTTGCGTGGTCGATGATGGTGCCCGCCAGGCACTCAGGCCCCGTCGCAGGCGGCCCCCGAGCAAACGGAATGGACGAGCATCATCCATCATCCATTCTCCTGATGTCTCCCCCCTCTCCTCATCAGCACTCCTCATCTTCGAATCTAAATCGAGGCCTGGGCATCCCACTGGTCGGGAGCCGCCTCGCTGAGGCCTCTGGCCAGCGCGGAATGGACGAGCGTCCCCCCCCTGATCCGCCCACATCCGTTCTCTTATGAATAACGCCTCCCTGCCGTCGCCTCGCCAGACGTGTCGCTGGGGCGGGCCGGGCACGCGTTCAGGGCATTAATCCATATCAAGTAATACCACGCGGGCCGCATGCGCGCGTCTCCCGCGCGCGCACGTCGAAATCCTTAGTTTGCAATCATCACAATGTCCTACCTAGGAGTTGGAGCACCTAGGAAAGCAACATCTACATCTACACCGACAGCTATATTAACATATACACCTGCATCCACATCTACATCAACATCAGCAGCGAGACTCACATCTACATCTAAATCAACACCTACATCTACACCTACACCTACATCTGCATCTACATCTACATCTACATCTACATCTACATCTACATATACATCTACATCTGCATCTACATCTACATATCATCATACACATACATCCACATCTACACCTACACCTACATCTACATATACATCTACAAGTTCGCATTGGTGGTGCGTTCGCTTTACATGCTATGTTACGATATGCAATGATATCCTGTGCTATGCGATGCTACGTTTGGCTATGATGTGCTTTGATATGCTGTGCTAATGCTGCGCTGCGCTATGCTGCGCTGCGCTAAGCTAAGCTAGAGTAAGCTAAGTTATGCTTCGCTATGCTCTGCTATGCTATGCTGCGCTACGTTATGCTGTGATATGCTGCGCTATGCTATGATATGATAGGCGAAGCTATGATATGCTATGCCGCGCTCTGCTATGCTGCTATGCTATGATGTGTAATGTTATGCTGCGCTATGCCATGATATGCTGTATTATGTTGTGATGTGCTATGATTTGCAATGCTGCGGTGTGCTATGCTAAGCGATTCAATGCCATGCTATGTTATACTATGCTAGACTGCGCTATGCTGTGCTATGCTATGCTATGGTAATATGTTGAGCTATGCTATGTTATGTTATGATATGCTTGGCTATGCTATGTTATGATACACTGTGATAGTGCTGCCCAAGCTAAGCTAGGGCAAGGTAGGCCCAGCCATGCTAAGCTAAATATGTTAAAGCTAAGCTAAGCTAGGCTACTAGGCCAAGCTAAGCCGAGCTAAGCTAAGCTAAGCTAAGCTAAGCTAAGCTAAGCTAAGCTAAGCTAGCTAAGCTAAGCTAAGCTAAGCTAGGCTAGGCAAAGCGGGGGATCATGGGGGAACCGCGGCGCGGATGCCAGGAGAACCGCCCGGGACGATTTCCACTGCCCAGCCCTTTAAGCATAGCGAAGCCTAGGTAGGGAACTGGTTTCTTCTGAGCAGCTTAAGAAGATATAGTTATCAAAAACACATGAGCATCAACTGGCAGCTCAACAAAGTCTGCCAGGTTCATTGAATTTCGAAGCGCACAGTTCCTCATGTCAGCCCCATGGGGCGCTTGTCTTTCAAGGGCGCACGCCCAGGCGTGAAAAGGATGATTGCGTGAACTTATTATGGGAGGGTGCATGGCAGCGTCGCATCATAGGGCATCCCGGGTTCCCCCTGGTCCTCATCCTCTCCTGCCTCTCCGAACGTTGGCCGGACTCAGTAGCCAGCGCTCGACATGCCTCTCACCGGCTTGCTCAGACTCTTCAGCGCCGTTGTTGCCGTGAACTTGGCTGAGGCCCGAATGAACGCCAGGTCCTCTGATGAGTCATTGCCCTCCTCATCCTCCTCGTCCTTGCCCTCCTCTTCCTCCTCCGCCTCCTCGTCCTCCTCGTCATCATCGTCCTCCTCGTCGTCGTCGTCCTCGTCGTCGTTGCCCCCTGAGTCGTCGCCCCCTGGATCGCCCTTCTATTTTCAGGTCGCTCGAGGCGTCGTCGTCGCCCCCTTCTTCGTCGCCATTTTCGTCGTCCTCTTCGCTTTCCTCATCGTTGTCGTCCGCCTTCTCCTCCTTCTCCTCCTCGCCCTCCCCCCTCTCGCCTCCTCGTCCTCCTCCTCCTCGTCCTCCGCCTCCTCCTTATCCTCATCCTCCTCATCCCCCTCGTCGCCCTCCGAGGGGCGCCGGCCCCTTGCCCGGCCGCGCAGGCCCCAGGTCTTCGCCCCGACCCACCCAGGACGGAGTCGCCCCCCCTCGCTGCTCCGGCGGTGGTGGAGGGGCGGGCGGAGGGGGCTGAGAGGGGAGGGGGAAGGAGGAGGGGGGATAATGTCGGGGGGAGGATGATGATGGGGGGGACGTGGAAGAGGATGTAGCGTTTTCACCCCCAACAGCAACAACAATGGGCTTGAAAAAACTGGAGGGGGGGATCACGGGCGCGGGGTCGGGGCGTTTAGTTGTTGAACCGCCGGGCTCCGGGGCCGCGAGTTCCCTGTCCGCCACGAAAGCCATCACCTCGGACGGGCGTTTCCTCGCAATCTTCTCGTGGGCGGCGGCAATGAACGCGCCCTTCTGGAACCACTTCCAAACGCCATTGGAGGTAGTAGTCTTCGAAATCATGATGCGGTAAAGCTCGGGATGGAGCCTCGCGAACTCGTCGGACGCCCACGCAACTCGAGTGAGATGCGCAATGCCATGGAAGGTCATGCAACGACCTCTCTCGCCTGCTGATGCGAAAAACTGTAGATCGCACGCCACTCCTCCACCAATGACTAGTACCCAATGGATACGTTGTGGTAGGAGTACAGCATCAGGAACGATGAAGGTGTTCGCATTGAGTCGATCATTGACCACCTTAGCATCCAAAGTTCTCAACACGCGAACGTGACAGGGCGCCTTGAACTTGTCCTGCAAAGTCTTCTCGACGAAACACTGGCGCCAGCTAAAACAGGGAGGACCGGGTCGTCGGCGGCTCGAGAGGCGGCTCGTTTCTTACTGATGTACTCTTCAGTCAGCTTGTCTTGATTCAGCGAGAATAAACGAGCAGCCTCGCGCATGTTGGGCGGCATGTCCTTGTCTATGTTCAACTCGCTCGTGCTCAAGAGCTGCTTCAGGCGCTTGGCCTTCTGGAAGTCGGCCTCTTTCTGGTGTTCGGGCGTCCACGAAGCAGTATCAGTCGACAGCCTCCCCTCGATCTTGGCGTGTCTCGCCTCAGAGTTGCTGGCCGCGTCAGAGATGGCGCTGCTCCGACGTTTCAAAAACGAGCTAAAACTATTGTCTTCTCTTGACACTGGTCGCGGCCGCCCGGCGTCCACTCGCACAGGCCTGTCGCTCGTTCGAGTGGTCCTGTAGACCTCCCGCCAGATGACCCGGGCAGCCTCGCAGAGTTCATTGTCCGACTTGGGATCCACGTCGCAAATGATGAACAACTCGTCGTTGATAAGCTGCTCGGAGAGATCGGCCCAGCAGAAACCGGCCGTGATGTGGCCCTTGGCGAACAGCCAGCCGCTCCACGCCGGACGAGCTTTGCCCATATCCACCGAATCGCACCAAGCACGCCATCAAGGCGTCTGAAGGGTGCGCCATCGCAATGCGCCGGGTGCGGGTCATGGCCTCGACCGCTAGCCTCCACGCGTCGATGGTCGACGCCCCGGCAGTCTCGGCCATCCTCAGGGCGACTGGCAAGAAATCATCATATTGAACCCGCAGCTCCGTCACAGGGACTTGGCATAAATGAGCAACTCTGGCCATGTGATCGCTGAAATTCGGCATAGCAACAACTTTATCGATGGTTTTGCCTTCCAAGCTGAAAATGCACATCGAGGCCAGTGCCTCAAAGTTTGGAAATTCTGCTCTGATCACGAGCGTTGCGAGGGCAACCCAATTCTTCATGCGCTTCAAAGCTGAATTGATGAGAGCCGGCGTCATTGTTCCTCTCCCCCCAAGTGTATACGGGACTGCTGCTTGGCCAGTGCCGACCCAAAGGGTCCGTGCTCGCTGGAGGCGCTGAACCATCAGATGCGTGAAACCCGTCTGCAAACAACCGCCGTGATTGAAGAGGTAGGTCACCCGTTGGAAGAACCGCAATACTTCATGGCATTGTCTTGATTTGTCGAAGTCTTCGCAATCGAAAAACCTAGTCAGAGCAAGGTTCTCAACGCTAGCGTCAGCCAGCATGGCGAAGGCGAGGCATGACTCCACGTCCAAGAGACGCAGGAAACGCTCAGCGTCCTTCGACTCCTCATTGCCATGTCGTTCGTCCTGGAGCTGCTGCGCCGTCTTCACAAGGGCATCGAAGTGGAACACGCCCCTCGACAACGGCAGCGCGATGCTGTGGGCGGCACAGGCAAAGAAAACAAACGACCACATGACTTAAGCCAAAACATGAAACGGACAAATCCAATAACCCCACCCTTCAAATAATGTAAGAGCGGCTTCTAATAGGGTTTCAAATATAGACGGGGGGCGCGGAGGCCGAACTGCATTAATTATCACTGGGAAAGTTCACCATCGAGGTTACTTCCTTCTTATGTTGAGATAACAACATCAAGCGAAGCGAACACGTTTTTTCAGGATGTCTCAAGCGAAACCAATAATTTGGGGAGGCAGCCTCAAACGAAACGATCAATGGTTCGAGGGTGTCCCAAGCGGAACCAGCAATTATTTGAGGATGTCTCGAGCGAAGCGAAAAACTTGTCGAGGGTGTCCCAAGCGAAACAAGCATATACTCGAGGGTGTCTCTCTCTTGCTTTCTCCTCCTCACCATGGCCCCTGAGCTTGCGCATCGCTGTGCTTTACTATCATCCAGGGAAACCGAGGCAGATGAGCTATGCCCTACACGAGCAGATGAAAATGCGAATTTCCATTAAGCGTTGACAGTTAAGTATAAAAAGTTTTGAACTTTGGAGTTTTCCTTTTCCTCTGCGCGCCCATTTGGTCCTCTCTGAAACATCATCAAAAACGAAATTGAAAAGTTCTGGTGCCCTTTATTATTAATAAGGATGCTGAAGGAACACGTCGGCTTTTTAATAATTTTATAATAGAGAGCTTAAGTTCGGAGGTGCGCGCGCGCGCCTCTGAGCTTCTCTCGTATATTATTATTCACATGAAAAATCTATATTTAATTCCAAAAACGAAATTGGAAAATTCTGGAGCTCTTTAAAGAGGCCGAAGGAACGCGCCAGCTTTCAATATTTTTATGATACGGAACTGAAGCTCGGAGGTGCGCAGCCGCGCGCGCGGCGGCGCACCGCTGAGCTTCACTTCTACATTATCATTCGATATTAATAAATCAACATATAATTCCAAAACCGAAATCGAAAAATTCTAAAGCCCTCTAAGGAGGCTGAGGGAACTTGTCGGCTTTTTTATACGATTATAATAAAGAACTGAAGCTAAGAAGCGCGCGCGGTGACCGGGTCACCCGCGCGCGCGCGCGCCTCCGAGCTTCAATTCTGTATGATAAAAATATGAAAAGCAGCCGCGTTCCTTCGGCCTCCCTAAAGGGCCCCAGAAATTTCCAATTTCGTTTTTGGAATCTTACATATAGATTTAGTAATGGTAAATAATAATAATAATAATATAGAAAGTGGTGGAGCTCAGCGGTGCGCCGCCGCGCGCGCGGCGGCGCACCTCCGAGCTTCGCTTTTATTTTTGAAAAATACCAAAAAAAATCAATTGGTTTCCTATAGAATTGTGCGCGCATACTAATAATTCTCATAGGTCCCCTAAGATTCCTACTGGTTCCTATAATAATAGAGGTTCCCATTGGTTTCTATAGAGATTCCCCATGTGCCTCGTTTTCCCAGGGCAATCAACCACAGCGATAAACAAGTTCAGGGGGGCCTGGGGGGGGAGAAAGATAGAGAGATACGTAGGACGATAAAAAGAGAAGAGGAGGTAGAGGAGGAGGATGAGGATGAGGAGGAGAAAGAGCAAGAGGAGGAGAGGAGAAGGCGATCGCACAAATCCAAAGTTTAAAACTTATTAGATGTCATTGTAAGTGCGTATGTGCTCGCGTAGGGTAGCTCATGTGCCTCGCGCTCCAATGATAAGCAACCCCAGCGATAAAGAAGTTCAGGGGGGCAGGGTGAGGATAAGAAATAGAAATATAAATGTAGAGATAGATAGAGAGAGAAGCTGAGGAAGAAGAGGAAGATGACGAGCAGGAAGAAAAGTTAAGGATGTCTCAAGATATCATCGGCTTTGTTGGCTCATCTGTTAACATCTCTATGTTGGCCTCTGGCGGGCAACTTTTATTATCGCTCCGCGACGCCGAACTTCATGATCCCTGGAAGGTTATTCTCTATTATAGTTCGAGGTTATGGCTGTGGGCCCGTTTTCATTAATCGGAAGCGAGGGGGGAGATCGAATTCTTGACGCTTCGCGTACCCCCACCAGCCCATCCAGAAACGATCAGCAGGGGAGTTGGTGAATCAGGGGCGGCATAACGCACGCAGTCGCGCAGCCGTCGTCGAGAACACAAGCATCGCACATCATAGCTGTCCGCATTGAAGGTTAAGATGGAAATCAATGCAAGTTACGATAGTGCTTCGATGAGAAGAGGTGAGGGGTATTTCGATGACTCGTAATGGCTGTTGCACTGATTTGGTCTGGGCCCTCTTGGGATTCTCGTGGGCCCCTCTTGGAGCTTCCTGGTGCTCTTTATTGCGGCTCTCATGAGGTCATCTGAAGGCTTTCTTGGGGCGTATGTGGGGCTCGTTTGATGCGTGTTGGGGCCACCTTGGGGCTCTTTTGGAGGGCATTGGAGCCCCCCTTGGGGCTTTTTTTTTGGGGGGGGTGTTTGGGGGGCATCTCGGGGCCGTCTTCTTGGCCCCTATCATGGCTAAAGAAGAAGAGGGGGGGGGGGGGCAATTATTGTCCACCCCCATCGGAAGCTCAAAAATGCAGTCGTGGGACCATCTAGGCCCGCTCTTGGAGCGTTCTTGGGGCCGTTTTGGGGCTCTCATATGGGCCCCTTTTGGGGCTGTTTTGGATCATCTTGGGACCATCTTCTTGAGGCCTCAACAACGAGAGCCCTTCGGAGGCGAAAAAATCAGAAGACAAAAAACATTGATTGTCCATAGGTGTTTGAAGGAGTTTGGCATCTTCTTGGGGGGGTCCTTGGAGGCCTCGGAGGACAGATGAAACTATCTTGGGGCCGTCTTGAAGCCTCTCGGACGCTTGCCGGAGGCTATCTTGGCCCCTCTACCGCTATCTTGGGCCATCTTGGAGGCCATCGTGCGCTCTCGGAGGCTCTCTTGGAACCATCTTGGGCCATCTTCTTGGACGCCGTTATGGGTCCGCCCCCCCGTCCACACGCAGGGAGGGGGGGAGGAGGTAAACAACCTCCCGAGCAGGAAGGAAAGGCAGGAGGTTGGAAAGGGAAATGACTTAGACCACATACGCCCAGAGGGCTGGTGGGATTGGAATGATGGACAGCCCCCAGTATAATACTGTCGGGAAATCGATTTCGGTTTCGTGTTCGCGCGCGCCGCGCGGGCGAGCCGAAGCTGCGCGGGCGGGCGAGAGGAGAAGAAAGTCTCTTGTGGCTAAGGCGCAGCTGGGCCAAATGTTTGGCGACCCGGCGCCCGGGGCCGGGCGGTGCCCCGCCGGTGCCCCGGCGCCCCAGGCCGAGAAGCGGCCGGACTAAATGTTTGGCGACATGGCGTCCGGGACCGGGCGGTGCCCCGCCAGTGCCCCGCCGGTGTCCCGGTGCCCCTCCTGGCGAACAGTGCCGCGCGGTGCCCCGCTGGTGCACCGCTGCTGGTGCCCCGCCTGTGTCCCGATGGTGATGATGATGATGAGGAGGAGAAAAATGATGATGAAGATGATGAGGATGGTGATGATATGGATGATGATGATGATGAGGATGATGATGATGTTGGTGGATGTGATGATGGCGATGCTGATAAGGATGATGATGATGATGATGATGAGGATGGTGATGGTGATGGTGATGATTGATGAAAATGATGATGGTGATGATGTTGATGATGGTGATGATGGTGATGATGGTGATAATCGTGATGATGGTGTAAATGGTGATGATGCTGATGATTATGATGGTGATGATGGTGATGATGACGAGGATGATGATGATGTTGTCGATTGTGAGTTCGACTATAAAATAAAAAAAAGATCGACAGTGAAAGATGATGATGATGAGGATGCCGAGGATGATGATGAGGATGATGATGATGATGATGGTGGTGATGATTGTGATGATGATGTTGATGATGATGACCACGATGATGAGGATAAGGATGATGATGAGGATGCTGATGACGGTGGTGGCGATGAGGGCGATGATGATGATAATGATGATGAGGATGATGATGATGACGGTGGCGGTGATGATGATGTTGATGTTGTTGATGATGATGAATATGGTGATGATGATGATGACGAGGATGAGGATGTTGATGATGGCTGTGATGATGATGACAACAATGTTGTTGATGATGATGATGGTGATGATGGTGATCATGGTGGTCATGGTGATGATGATTATGGTGATGATGATGGTGATGATGGTGATGATGGAGATGATTATGATGATGATGCTGTTGATGATGACTGTGGTGATGATAATGACGTCGATTGTGAGATCGATTGTGATATAGATTGTGAGATCGACAGTGAGGGAAAATTATGATGATGATGCGGGTGATGGTGATGATGACCAGGATGATGATGATGGTCATGATGGTGATGCTGATGATGATGACGATGATGATGATGAGCATTAAGGTGAGGATGATGATGGTGGTGCTGATGGTGATGATGGTGATGATGGTGATGCTGATGGTGATGATGAGGTGGCGAGGATGACGATACTGATGAAGATGATAATGATGACCTCGATTGTGATATCGATAGTGAGATCGATAGCGAGACCGAATGCGAGATCGATTGTGGGATCGATAGTCAGATCGATTGAGAGATCGATAGTTAGATCGATTGTGAGATCGACCGAATGAGATCGATAGTGGAGTCGATAGTGAGACCGAATTTGAAATCGATTGTGAGATCGATTGTGAGATCGCTAGTGAGATCGACAGTGAAACCGAATGTGAGATCGATTCTGGAATCGATAATGGTATCGAGTGTGAGATCGATCGAATGAGATCGAGTATGCTATCGATAGTGAGATCGATCGATTGCGACGCTGATTCCTCCCCCCCTCACCTCCTTATCATCCGACGGGTGGTCGTATAGGTCTGAGTTTGAACGCTTCGGCCTTCGGGGCATCATCATCATGGGGAGTTCTCGTCGCCGCGGCTGGGGCCGCTTCGAAATCCTGGTCAG